GTATCAACTCAAAAGGATGATATTAGCAAATATAATTAATACTGAACAAATGAGGTTATTGTAAACCGGAAGAATTAGGATGGAATTGCAATTGTAATTGAGAATGTTTAATGGAAGAAATCAAATGGTTACATTTCTGGCTTTCGAGAGGCCAAATTCTCTGCAAGGCTCACGCCCAAAGCTATGTAAGCAAAACAGAATGCCCTTCCTGATACCCTCTCCCCTTATACCAGTAATGCCACAAAATTATTACAACCATGCATCAACCACTTGTACTACTAATGCATTACCCACTTGTACTTCCCCATTTAACAGCAGACTAATAGAGGTCAGTTGTAAGGAAAGATGGATACATGTTCATGTACTGTTGAGGTTGATTTGTRTAAATGGGTGCAAACTACCCTTGTCAAATTGATACCGTCTATAGTTGATGATTTTTGTTGAATTGCATMTCTCTGAATGTTGCATCAATTTATGGACTGGACTAACCAGAAGAATCATTCTTGATTGAAAATTGTTGATTGAAATGTGCTTTTCTCAACGGCCATGTGATATTTTTATCTTCATATTCTGTACTTCTGTTTTTTTGTAGTTGTGCAAAGGATTAGTATCAGTGCAAAGATATTGGGAAGCTCTGGAAATCATCAATTCGAGTCTGAAATTGGCACACAACACTCTAACAACAGATAAGAAAGAGGAGCTTCGGTCACTTGGAGCTCGTAAGTCTGAGATTGTAAAAGACTCTGGCATTACKTGTTACATTGTTTTTCCTCCAAGAGGTTCCTATAATTTCATGCATAAMGTGGTGTTCCAATTTCTAGGAAACTATGTTCCATTAAAAAATGCATTTTGTTTTAAGCAATAAAACACAGATATAAAAAAGAATAAATAGTGATTCCATGAAATTGTTTTCCATGGTAAATGCTTTATGAAAAAAAGGACTTGGATAAAAAWTTTCCATCGTGTTTTTCTTTTTATTTTATAATGACTATTGTGCAACGCMTTCGATTTATGTATTACTTAAAAATTGGCAATGGAGTCTCTCTTCATAAATGAAGTCGAGTATTATCTTTTTGTTCTCTTCAGAGATAGCATATAATATTGACGGTCCTACTAATGGATGGGATTGTGCTCGATACATTGTTAGCCAAAATCCTTACAGCTTTGCAGCATGGAATTGCTACTACAAAATTATGTCAAGGTACATACTTTATCTATTATGAACATATTGTTGATCATTATGTTGAATTATTTTCAAGTTATACAYACTTTTTATTGGCGTTCTTTCTTTTTCTTTAATAGATCCAGGCTGGATAAGCATAGTAAATTCTTGCATGAGAAATCTATTAAACATGAAGATTGTATACCAGTAAATTTAATCAAAGGACATCACTTTACAATGATTAGCCAGCATCAAGCAGCTGCAAGATATTACTTGAAAGCCTATAAGTTGATGCCCGAGAATGCTTTGATCAATCTTTGTGTTGGTACAATCTTTTCTTGATTAAATATCATCAATCAGTTACAAAGATGTCATATTTYTTTCCATATCATAATGAATWACTATTGTTAATTCACCTTTTCTTTCAAGGAACGGCTCTAATCAATCTAGCCCTTGGATTGCGACTTCATAACAAGCACCAATGTGTTTTGCAAGGTTTAGCTTTTCTCTACAACAATCTTCGCCTTTCAGGGAACAGTCAGGTGTATCTCATTCTCCTTCATTGTTCTCGTTGGATTATTTGTTGGAAAAGTTTATTCATGCTGTTAGTTTCTTATTGAATATTGGTCCAAACAAATACATGCATTGCTAACAGGTTGTGTTGGTACTAATCGAGTCTCTCGAATTAGTGGTTGTGGGTTTAAGACTCATCCTTTTTAGTGCTGGTACTCTTTTTCCTTCTRAAGAATATGCATAACACTAATTACAGACAGTTGTTATCAACTGTTAAGAGTATAGTGATGGGTTATTTAGCTAAATGGCCTTTGGAGAAGTATTTTTTTAAATCCATGACCTTCTGATAGATTTCAAAGTATTCTTGTGCATGGAACTATGGAAGTGACATTCTTCTGTTAACCGGTGGCATTCTCAAATCTGTCTGAATGTCATGGATTTAAAAAAAAACTATCAAAATGTCATTTAACCGAAGGACCCCAATTTTACAGCTTTTGGTTACTTCATTCGACAAAACTGTATATACAACTCGGCAGTTGCAACGTAATTAAGCACCCATAAGAAATTGATCAGAAGGGCATACTGGTAACTCACCCAAGTTAAAAAACAAGCGGAAAGATAAGACATATATATCACTAGAAGGCTACCTAGGAATTTACGTTGCGATCCTTATGAAATGAAAGGTGTACATGAGTATATTATTTGCCTAGGGAATAGGAAACTGTATGAAAGTTTTGTGTAAATATTCATGTTTCCATATACAGAGGATATGGTCTCACCCTATAGTCATTGGCTTCAACTTACTCCTATATACATTTTCTACATTAGATGGAGGGATGTGTCGTTCCTTAGTTTTWTATGTTTTATTATACCTATTTCTTTTTTCTGCTTCTTATTATTTTTTAGCTTGGTTCTTTCCTTTTGCCTCACACTTTTGCACAAGCCAGGGGTGTTCACGGAAACATCCACTTTATCGTTTGAGGTAGAGGACAAGTTTGCATACATCCCACCCCCAGATCCTGCTTCCGAGTGGGATATACTGGGTTGTTTGGTTTGGTTTTATGGTTGGTCTAGAATCTAACCATGTAACGTATATTTGTTTGGGCCCCACAGTATCAGGTGAATAAGATTTAGACGTTATGTTATCAAGGTTWWTTATTTAACCATTGTACTTTATTTTTCAACCATCTATCACCAGTGCCATTTGATAGCTGAAATGGGAAGAATTAATCAGCCTGCTCTTATAGAAATGATAGTAGCATTATATTAGTGCTCATTAAGCRAAAATGGGTCCAAAATTCTTGGTTTTTGCTTGTTTCAAGCAAACTAGTGGCAAAAGATGGAAAATGAGGTGCACTAACCATATAAATACATATAACAGTGCRGCGATCAAAACTTAATTTACTCTAATAGTTTTTATCTAAAAATTAACTGAAGTGGCTCTTGCAAATGTTTTATGTTACAGGAAGCTTTATACAACCTGGCACGGGCCTATCACCATGTTGGTCTAATTACGCTTGCGGTAACATACTATGAGAAAGTGCTTGCCATTCATCAAAAAGATCACCCTATACCGAAGCTACCCAATGATGGTTCAGAAGCCATGGATGATCTGAAGCCTGGATATTGTGATCTTAGAAGAGAAGCAGCTTACAATTTGCACATCATCTATAAAAGCAGCGGCGCCATGGGTCTTGCTAGGCAGGTTCTTAGAGATCATTGTAGTCTTTAAGGTAAGTTTGTCCGTCYAGTTTACAACCATATAACTCAACRTTTAGTAGCTTATATCAGAAGATAGGAGTAGGACATGAGTTATAAGTGCTTAATTAACATTAACTTAAATGTAACCGGTTTTGGGTTTGTTAAAGAACTGGAAAACTACTACGTGGTAGTTCAAAGCTGGAATTTGGCACAATATTTGGAAGTGGTTGCATGGAAAACTTATTGTTAATAAATGGCCATGAAGAAGGTACGAAAACTAAGGCCATGTTTGGCAATCATTAGCTAGCTTTTTTTTAGCTTAATTAAAAAGGACCATTTGGTAAACCATAAGCTAGCTTTTTGAAAAGGTATTTCAAGTAGCCTTTTTCGTTTTCTTTTTCCAATTAAGTCTCTTATATTTTACTTAAATGACAAAGAACACTAGCCTTTTGGATTTTACATGGCCATCTAATCTTATTGGCTAGTTTTTGCCGAACGTCACTAGTTTATCATCTAACTTATTAGTTAACAACTAACTTATTAGTAACTAATTAGCTTATCAGCTAGTTTGCGAAACATAGCCTAATGCTGTGTTTGATAAAACTACAATGGTCTTTCGCATATTATACAGACACTAAACTATTATTTAGGCTTGCCGGTGACATCTATTTTGTATAGTGAGCTTTGTCAGTCGGATAAACACACTCCTGCTTCTACCCATTCTGCAAATCTAGGTCTAATTTTCCATTACAAATTGTTCATTCTGAATGTTTGGTTTAGTTGACATTAAGGAATTTTAATATTTTGTTACATTTATGAATGACCACTGCAACAATTGAACCCCTTCTCATAAAAACAAAAATATAGAATACATGAGGGTTTGAATGTCATCATCATCTAGATCACAAACGCAGTTTACAGGGTTGGGGCTCGTTCGATATTTCCAGAAATCACGGTTAGCAGGTTGTTTCCAAAAGGATCGCTCAAATGAGATGCAAGGTTTTCCACAGGACCCTGTCCTGTCACATAGGCTTGGATGAAGAAGGCAAACATCGAGAACATTGCTAGTCTCCCATTCTTGATTTCCTTAACCTTCAAAAGTGCAAACTGGTCTGGATCCTTGGCCAGTCCCAAAGGATCAAATGGTCCACCAGGATGTAGCTTGTTCTCGAAATCCTGCACAAAAATCATTAATATATTCTCAAGCTCTAACCGACTGAGCTAGTCATCACTTTCTTGGGGTTTTATAGAACCCCGGACATACATGTCCCAAATGTAATTTGATACCATGTAAGTATATGTGGAACCCTATTAGATAACTCTCGAAAAGAGAAGAGGGTTCCAACATATATTGATGTAGAAATATTCAAATCTAGTTGATGTGGGACTCTTAACACATTTACGTACCAAGCCATTGGTGATTCTGTAGTATTCTGCACCACCAACTAGAACAACCTCGGCAACAACAGCCAGGACCAGATTAATGGGAATGTTCTTCCCGAAGTAATTTAATGTGTTTCCATCGAGTAATAGAGCCCCAGTCTGCAGATACCCATATGAGTATTTTACTACATATATAAGATATATATAGAGAGAGGGGGAGGGGGTTTAGGGGAAAACCTTTAAAAAAAAAAAAAAAATTGAAGAACACCCTGGTAAAGCATTTATCTGGACCATATACAATGTGCATATAAGTAACTGAAGCTGTTTTTTGGTCTTATGCACGTATGCATGTTTTGCATATATGCATACTGGACAAATTGCTTATAAATTAATTGTTTTTTGGTTTTTACACATGTGCATACGGTTCAAATGAACGATTGTCAGGGTGTTTTTCAGTTTTTTATTTTTTTAAGGTTTTCTCCTCAACCTGACCTTATATATACATATATATGGTAATCATAAAGTTTTCGTCTTTAATTAATTAATGGAGCACTATACAAACCTTAAACCAGACAGCTTCGGGGCCACAGTTGGCACCATATTTGTTGAATGCCTCAGGAATGATGCAACCCGCTGCACCCAACATCGCCCATCGTGCATGAATCAACTCAAAGGCTTGGTATCTACATGCCACATCCATACAAATGTTGTGATTAAAAGACATACAATGTGAATCCAACTCAAAACCATTTTGCTGTTATCAAGTTAACTCGCTATTCCAACTCAGAATCACTTCGTTCTGAGTTGACTCGTTCAACTCTGTGTGCGTTTGTTTTCTGTGAACTTACTTCTCAAAGTCTTCTGGTTTCTTGCCAAGTCCAAAAGGATCATAACCATAACTGCATGTAAAGTAAAGATGATAAAATGTCATTTTGCTTGTATAATGTGTGTGGATAATATGTAATATATATATATATATATATATATAGCTTTGACTTACTCTCCGGCTACTTCCCCATTGAGGTACTCGGGGATCTCTGATCGGTCCAAAAGACCTTCTGGCAAGAAGATTCTTCTCTCAGGACCTGCAAAACCATTGCAGATTGTTGTTAAATTCAAATTAAACCAACTAATTGAAAGTTCGTGAAGATGGTTGCAAAAAGCAGTGGTGGTGATGATACTTACCGTACCACTTGGCGAGCTCGTCGGAAGCCGGGGTGACGGGGGCAGGCTTAGCCTTGGGTGCAGGTTTCTTCTTTTGGAAAAGAGCGACTGTCTTGAAAGTGGCAGGACTGGAAGCCGAAGGAGCCGTCCTAGATGCACCGGATAAGTTGAGTGGGTTACCACGCATTTTAGACACACCGAGGGAGGCCGCCGCGGTCGACGCTGCCAAAGAAGCCATTCTTTCTGGTCACCGGAAAACCTTTTTGCTGGTTTTGGATTATATTATGTGTTTGTGTCCGTCTGTGATGAGAATTGAGAAGGCAGAGGTAGCTGCTAAATGGGAAGTTCTGGTGGATGTGGACCTGCCACGTAGGATGGCTGTGATTGGTGAGAAGCGTGGGATGAAATCTGATGCACCTATCTTATTGGATTATGAGGCCGACGTGGCGGATGATGATGTCTGATTGTGGAACCCACACCGGAGAAATTGAAGTTGTGGAGGAAAATGGCCAAATCTGGATAACTTGGCAGTTGGCATCTCACATCCACATGTCCAGGTTAAAAAAAGTTGAAATACATCTTTAAATATTTAGTTTTTATTACTTCAAAATCAAATGTTATAAATTCACAAATTAATGCAGTCTTTTGAATTAAAGTTATTAATTTGTTTGTTATATAGCAAACTAACACAATGTAATCTATACTATCTTATTAAGCAAATTCATCAAAAATCTTAAAGTCTTAAAATTTTAAATGACCAAGATACCCTTTTCACTTTTTCACTTTTTCACCCCTTCCTCTCCTCACATATACTCACCTCTTCACATACATTTACCTCTCTCACATTCAACGGATTTTTTTTAAAATTATAATTTTAAATTTACATTTTATATCCTTATAATTAGTTAATTAATTAATTTACGTTCTTTACTTTTAAATGTTTCATTTTAAACATTTATCAAATTAACATACATAATCGTATATCAAATAAAACATGTTTAAAAAATACATTTTTATTTTAACAAGTTACACCATTATAATCGTCTCGTTAA